AAAAAATAATGGATTTTTTCCTGTAAATCGTTAATTGAAACAATCAATGAGATATGCAACGTAAAAAATATTAAATAAATAGGTTACAAAAAAAATCTTTACTTTTCTTTCAACTGACATCTGCTGAGAAGGGCCATCTCTATCGTTTTCTGGAGCAGCATCGAACACATTGAAGAATCTTTGTCCATCAACACCGACTTCCAGGATCGACGCCATATTACCACAGCGATAACAATAATTTGGTGCTGACCAAACAGTTGACAAACGGCCATCATAAAGAACCTATAATAAATCATGGCAATGAGACGTTAATATACCAATTATTTAATATAGTATTTCCAGCCTAATCTACATGCCTGAAATCCTTCCATGCATAGCTGATGAGCACGTAGGATATGCTCCATTTGATTAATCTCAAGAAATCTTTTAACAACTTGTCCGCCAAAGGTATAACCTGCACCTCTAAAAAAGATGTCGCCATATTTGGATATAACTACAAATAAACAATAAGTTTGGTGATATATAAGATATATACAAACCTTGGTGAGATGGCAAATTCATCTTTGTCAGGATCAGGGTCAGACCAAACTAAGTCAGCCATTGGGCCTTCGTGTGGAATTTCTACAAGTAAAATAGTTTTTGAGTATCATTATTAAAAAACAACCGATTTATAAGTTCGAGGTGAATTGTTAAATACCTCTAAATCGATCAAGAATCTTTATCTGGTCTATGCTGTGTATGGATGGCGAGAGTCCTATTGGATAAAAATAATGACTGCTAAAGATTTTCGTGGAATATGGGGTATGAACAAATTTGACAATATATTTACCACCATGAACACAAAATATTCTGTTATCTATCACCACGGATAATGTGAGAAAGTCAAACATATCTGTGAAGTAATTCCAGACGTGTGTAGAACCGTATTTCCTAACGCACTCAGTATAGAATCCATAGGTCTAAAAAATCATAACAAATATTCTTATTGAAAATGTGGATGGAAAGGACAAGTAACAATTGGTTTCAAAATGCCAACAGTCAAATTATAACATTGTTATACTTACTTGAGTTACTGCTCTTGATTCATGATTTCCCCTTACAAGCTGTACTCTATCAGGATAGCGTAACTTAAGACAAGTCAGTAACGAGATGGTTTCCACGCTAAATAGTCCTCGATCCACGTAATCGCCTGCAGGAAACCGAACAAGGCGAATGTTTTGTGAACATTCGACAGAATCACCTTTATAAGGGTGCTCAATGCTTTTGAATGTGGCTTAAAATCTTTAAAGTACCGAGGAAGAGATAATTTGTATGCGGACAATAACCCCCAATTCGAAATATTTCTATCAGATCATAAAATTGCCTATAACAGTGTATATATTCTATTAATGTAAGTTATACGGCGAAGATACTAAAAAATTAAAATAACATTTAAGACAGTAATAATGCTTCCCATAAACGTTACCCATGAATATCACCAACAACTGTTACAGGTGCGGAAATATGAATTACGTTGCTTTCACGCATTAGTAACTCTTTGGTTTTTTCGCAAATCTCTTTAAGAAGTGATTCATCGAGAAGTTGTTTTTGAAGCAGTTGGGAAATGCAAGCATCAAGATCTAGGCCCATTACCGAGATGTAAGTGATAATGAGATATAAGATAAGGCAGATATTAAAAAAGAAGTTACTCAAACAATTTTGTGCAAACTTATTTGTGTCACAAATAGACTTACCAGCAACTGATTACGGTAAAAGTGTATTTTTCGAAATCAGTTTTTTTTTTTTTTCGATAAAAAATATTCAATTTCAAAAGTAATTATTAAAATTATTAAAATGATAGCATCGATTTCTTCGAAATTTTCAGAAAATAATTCAACCGATGTTTCGGACTCATCCGTAAAAATGCAACAAAATCGGCAGTCTCCAAAGCAATCACGAACACACCCCGAAACTTCGTCTGATTCCAGTTCTCAGCAAAGTGTGAGGAGGTCTCGGAGAACATCGTTGCTTGGAAAACAGGCAAATTATACGGAAACGACTAGTTCCTCATCTTCAGAAACAGAAGTCAAATTAGGTGTGAGAAGACGGCGATTAAGTTCACACAAATCTGAAGGGGATTCTATCTCATCTTCAAATTCTGATTTGGAATCTCGACCAATAATTAAAAGAGCTCGTTCAACTCGAGACTCTCAATCTCCAAAAAAGTCAAGTAGTTCTTCACTTTCTGAAATTTCGGAAAATTATTTATCTTCTGCTATGGACACAGAAAGTGAAACGCAAGAACCACCGTCACCTCCCGAAACACCAAGTTTGCCGCTTCAAAAACGCCGTTCATCTCAATCGGAATCATCAGACGATTCGTCTGAAGACACAGATAGAACTTCGGAACCTCCGTCTCCTCCAGGAACCCCAATACCGCACGATCCATGTAAAATCTGTGGTGGGTTTGAACCATTAGGTTCACAATATCCGCTTCTAGTTTGCGCTGGTTGTAAAATATGTGTTCATACTGGTTAGTCACATCGATAACTACTTATAGTCTTATAGACATAATCATAGCATACGTTAATTTTAATAAGGATGTTTCAGATTGTTACGGAATATCCAATCGTAAACCAATGGGAAGAAGCTGGCGATGTGACCCATGTCTTAATGGAAGAGTTCGCAGAGCAATTAAAGTTTGTAATGTTTAATAAATTTATAATGATCTCGTATCATTCTATTTCTATATATTTATATTTTTTGATCATGTTATGTGCTCTAGGTTAAAAAATGTGTACTTTGCAGTCACCCAGAAGGTGTGAATAACGCAATGAAAAGAACTAACGGGAATAATTGGGTTCATGTTTTATGTGCTACATTTATTCCCGAAACTTCATTCTATGACGCGGAAAATGTATTCTTAGTGATGGATATTGAAGATATTCAAGATGAAAGTTGGAATGCGGTGACTAACCTACTTTTATAATGATATGTTGTGTTGTCAATTTATTAATGCTATTTTATTTGTAGATTTGCTCTATATGTCAGATGCGAGGAGGAGCTTGCATGCGATGTTCCAACTATGCTTGTAAAAACTTTTTACATGTAACATGTGCACAAGAGGCAGGTTGTCACATAGGATATGAATTAAAACCTTCTAAACTAGCCTTACAACAAGAATTACCCCCAGAATTATCTCCAAAACATGAACCAGAGGAATCCAAAGGTGATATGGAACGGTCTATATTTGATGAGATTTCTGAAAGTGAAATGGTCTCTAGAGTTTTTTGTTGTGATCATACCGATTTACCCAAAAACTTTGTGAAATTAAATATTCGAGATTTAAATTCGCACCAGGTATCTTTTATTTGTCAAATATATCATAGCAC